GCGCAGGCGCTGTATGCGTCCTGCGCATGCGTGGAAGCGCAGAACTCGTCAAAACCGGGTAAGAAACGCGGGCGGGCCGGTGGACACTTCGGCGCTCCCGGAAGTTACTTACTTCCGGGTTCGCCGACCAACCGGTTCGCGGGGACCGCCGCAAACCGCCTGAAACCCACCCCTGGTTGGCCCCCAAATTTTTCGTGGTCTGAGCTCTATTCGACTCGACTCTATTCTAATATCCTATCCTATCCTGTTCTAATTTAGAATTTCACCTTCTCGAAGCAAGACACATTCACCTGTTCTTTCGCTTTTTGCATTGCAGACGTGATGGTGGAAGGGAAGCCCTGTGACTCGGATGTTGTAGCAGATTGCACCGTCGGGGATCCCATGAAGCTGGAAGTGAAACTGACCAATTGGAGCAAGCACAACGTCGGACCCTTCTCCCTCACCGTGATCCCTTACCAAGATTATCAAAACGGCGTCCACAATTACGATCTCCAAGATGGCATCACTTTTGTTGGCTCCAACACCTTTTATATCGACACGGTAAGTCCGTGCTTGGTTGTATTTATTCGGCCTCCAACGTAAGACGGTAAAAGAAAGGAAGGTGTAGCAGTTGTTCTGTGCTATTTTATTCAACGGTTTCTTTGAAGGGACTTTGGATTCCTCACGTTTCACTGTTTAAAAAAAAAAGCATGGGTTTATTTGTTTGCTTGCTTACATTTTTTAAAGTTTACCCTCCACTTTGTATAACAACAGAATGTTTGATGCCACCAATAAAAATAACAATATATATGTTAGGGTTCCAAGTAACACACCCATAGCAAATAAAACTCTGAGGCAGGTAGATTCCTCAAAGAACAGCTTTATAGGAGATATTATATTGGCACAGAACGGGTGAAAACCGACTCTAAATGTTCCTGAGGTTTTCACCTAGTTAAAAGAGAAAGCTTTCCCGCAATCCCAAACAATCAGTCACATGGTCCAATCAAGACGCTGTCTGGTGACCTCACTCCTCCTCCCACAGTCCAGGGGTCAACTCATAAAGCATTTGCACATCTGTCATCAAGTTGCCATGGTGAGGAAAGTGGGGGGGGGAACACATTCCACGCATATGGAATCCTCAGGGAAAAGGGCGGCCTATAAATTTTAATAAATGAAATGAAATGAAAATACCTTTGGCTAGAGTCGGATTACTACAGCAGGCTTGTGAGGCATCCACCTAGTTGGAGAATGTGATTTATGACACAGACTGAGGGGAGGGAAGAAACGGGGGCAAAGTTCAGCCACAATTTAAATGAGGTCAGATCTGACTGCAATGGGGTATTGCCGAAATGGTGATCCTAATAAATGATTGGATTTCTTTTGAAACTTGGCTCGATGCTCATGAATTAATTAGGGCATCTTTCGGAAACCTGATGCCAGGTGTGGGAATGTCCTTGGTTCTCAAGAGAAAGTATTTTGCTTTGGCTACAGAAAGCTCTTTATTTCTAATCCCCCCTCCCTTTCCCTCCACTCCAGTGTGGCAGCACTGAAGTTCCAATATGGCTCCAGTCAGGTCAGCTTCAAGGTCGACAGTATAAAACAAAACAAAATCAATACGCCAAGTGTATAAGATAGGTAAATATTCTTTCACCTAAGTAAAATAAGCTCGTTATCTTTCTACCAATTTGGTAAATTAGTCGGGTCTCCTTCATGACAAGCATGAGGAACTGTATGCTTGTGCTTTGTAGGATGGATGCTACAATGCACACAATCCAGGCTTTCCTTTATAACCGTGTGAAAGAAGAATTATTGAGGAATTAAGGAAATATTAAGGAATTATTAAGGAATTACACATGAATTATTGAGTCTGTCATCTGCACCTCTATAACTGTCCAGTTTGGCTCTGCAACAAAACAAGACAGACTTCAACAGATAATTAGAAATGCGGAAAAAACAATGGCTACCAACCTGTCTTCTGTTGAGGACCTGTATACTATAGGAGTCAAAAAGAGGGACGTGAAAATATTTACATACCCCTCACATCCTGGACATAAATTGTTTCAACTCCTACCCTCAAAACAACGCTATAGGGCACTGCACACCAAGACAACTAGACACAAGGACAGTTTTTCCCCGATTGCCATCACTCTGCTAAATAACTAATTCCCTCAACACTGTCATATTATCTACTACGACTGTATTACTATTATTCTTCTCTTCCTTCCTAGTACCTATCTCTTCCCACTTATGCTTGCATTTTTAAATTTTATATTCTTTTATTTGTTTCCTAGTATGATTTGACTGCTTATTAGTAACCTATGGCTTTCACTAAGTGTTGTACCTTATGATTCTTGATGAATGTATTTTATTTTATTTTTCTTTATGTACACTAAGAGCATATGCATCAAAAACAAATCCCTTGTGTTTCCAATCACACTTGGCCAATAAAGAATTCTATTCTGTTCTATTCTATTCTAAATCTGCAACAACAATGAGGATCCAGATTGTTGAGAGCAAGAAGCTGACTCTGTAAAACTGCTTAGAGAGGGCTGTAAAGCACTGTGAAATGGTATATAAGTCTAAGTGATATTGCTATTACCAAGCTAGGTAACATCATCAGTGCACTGCGGGGTCCTTGGTGCTCTCTTGACTTAATGAAGCATCTGCAAGACAACCAAATTTGGAGAGCAATGAGCACATTTGATTTCAAGCCCAAAGATTTTCTCCTATCAATTTGCAACAAAGAGGCACTGATCAATAGATTCAGCAGAGGTCCATTCTTGGAGTCTCCTGGAGAAATCATATTTTAAACCAGGAACATGAACCCTTTTTCAATGGTAGGATGGAGAAACCAAACACATAAACCAATGGTGAAATTCAAATATTTTTACTACTGGTTCTCTGGGCGTGGCTTGGTGGGCATGGCAGGGGAAGGATACTGCAAAATCTCCATTCCCTTCCCACTCCA